CGGATTTCAGGCCTCAACGATCGGGGAAAATACCTATACCTGAAACTCGGTCTGAGGCCCACAATACCCGACTGGGGAATATATAAGAGGGAAATGGGTTTTCGGAGGGTAAAAACCCGGCCTCCAGCCCCGTTTCCCCTACCGACGAACTTAAAACTCGGTCAGTTTCTCTCTCTTCCCCATTTTTTCCAGAAACCATTCTCTCTCCCTCTCTTTTCCCCTCGCCGGAGACGCGAAGCTCTACCGGTTTTTCGTAGATCCGGTCTCATACGACCTCCAAATCTAGATCCATTCGCGGATTCGGGATCTACTCGTTGGCGCGCACGTCATAAAAAAACTCGACTTCTTTTGCTAAGTTGCCGGCGCCGCGGACCGCCACCGCCGGCGAATCTCCGACGAGGCTTCCTAGACATTTTCTCGACTGGATTTTGTCTCCATCGCCCTCTCTTCCCCTCCCACTACGGTACTACTTGTGTTTGCATGTGTGTATCCTGAATTTTTGTTGTTTTCTGGAAAATCGGACTATAGATGTTAGGCTTGATAACCCTGAATTGTTTTGCATGCCTGTTTCAGTTTAGGGCAAGGGGACGACTTTGCTTACGGTTTTACTAACATACTTTTGAGGATTCTTGTCTGTTTGCACTGGTTGTACCATGATCTATGCTAGTACTTTGCCTGCTTTGTCGGTTTTCTGTCTCTATAATTGCAAAGAAGATTGGTTGTGCTTACCTGTTACCAAGTGGTTCTTGAGTGTGAGGGAACTGCCACCCCCTGACCATGTTTTTAACGTTGTTTTCCTCGTGGTTCCACCTTTGGTTACTCTCTTTTGTAGGATCATGTCTCGTAACAACCGCTACTTGCACCATGTGGCCCCCATTGCCCAGGCTGAGTCAAAATTCCCGGAGGTCCCGGTAGGCCACTTCAAGCCCCAAAGGCACCTCGACTTTGACGTCTTTTGGGCGCTTCACTACCACAACAAGGTGGCCGCCGCGATTTCTCATCTTCACTGGCGTACGCTCTTGTCTGTACAGAAGCCTACTTACAAGGAGTTGGTGTGGGAATTCTACACTTCTTATTCATTCCGGTCATCTGCACCTGTTGACCGGAATAATGCCATCACCTTCCGGTTGGGAGGGGAGCCCGGGCACATGATCATGACGGAACTTATCTGCGCCCTCGGCATCATATATCCGCCCAGATATGGCGTTAAGGAGGTCGCTAACCCACCTGGTTTCCGCGTCAACGAATTTTACGACTAGATCTGTCATCCGGATTCCCTAGAGGAGGAGGTCGAGGACGGGTAGACAAATGTCGCCACTCTTCGACCATAGTGGCACATCCTCAACCTCCTCCTCATGTGCTCGGTGCGTCCAAATGTCAGTGGCCCGCAGAAGCTCACCAATCGTGTGCTCTACTTCATGTATGTGATGAGGGACCCGGATTCCGACCTGCACCTCGGCTCAGTTGTGGCGAAGACCTTCGCCAAATGCCATAATAGGCTGAACTACCTCTACTGTGGTCCCCTGATCACACATCTGGCTCGCTACTTTGAGGTGGACTTTCGGGGGCTAACGGGCGGTTCTGAGAAATTAGGATCCCACCCGCTCGGCAAAAACATCATCTTCAATGCCCTCCTCTTGACTTTTGCCGATGGTCGAGAGTGGGTGGATGGTCTTTCTATACCCCTTGTTCCTGGAGAAGGTGCTGAGGATGATGACGACGAGGATGATGATGAGGATGATGATGATGATTGTCGCAACCGTCCCTATGGGGTCGGGTCGCGTTTGCTTTTGGAGTCGCCATCGATCTTACTTGGAGTGGATCGAACACTCTTCAGACAGCTCTAACCTTAGGTTAGAAACGAGGGTTAGTCTACGGTTAAGAGATTCGGATTTGGGAGAACGTAGGGGTGGGAAAAGGGACGGGATTGGGAACCTGTCGTGTTTGAATCGGGTACCTAATCCCATTAGGAGAGCAAACTCCATCCCATGTCCCAAACCCGTACGGGTTAACGGGTACCCGTTACCCGTACGGGACGGATAACCGGTACCCGCGGGTAACCCATAAAAATTTAGCTCTAAAAATTCATAGAAAGATAAGAAAAATACCAGGCCATGTGTGAACTAGACGGAGATCGAGGCTATGTTCAAGCAGAAGCTGGAGGCTGAGGTTCAATGTCTGGCATGTGATATAATTTCGTACTATTCATATGTAAATTATTGCGGCATGAAGTTGGTCATGCAGCCTTTGAGAATGGATGTAAGCAGATGGACAGCATACCTGGAACAATTGAAGCAGAAACAGCTAAAATTAAGAAGTTGCTAAGTGAAATTGAACAAAAGAAGTTCGAATCATCAGAATCGCATAAAATCGAACAAGTTTGTGCATTTTATTATTACCTAAACTTAGTTCAATAGTTTCTTGTCCTTGAACAAGTGGCAAGGGAGAAGGTTGCAGAATTTAAGTCAATTATTGATTTAGACAAGAGGCAGGGTCTGTCATGAGAGCAATTTTACCGGCCAAAGAATCTAAAAGCATAGAGGGCGATAATATGAGTGGGTAGTACGGATACCCATTAAAAGAGTCCCATCCCGTAAAAATAATTACGGGTATTTGGGTACCTGTAACCCTCCAAAAAGGGGACGGGTACGGGTATACCCAAATACCCATTTCCCGTGTGGGGAAGTGAAATCACACCCACGACGCCCTAAAGCGGTACTACCTAAGTTGATTAGTTATATATTAGTTGGGTGTATTTTAGTAATTATTGTGTAGTTTCTTTTTTAGGGTTCTACTTGACCATTAATGTATTTCTATCTTATTAGTTATTGTTTAACCAAACGTCTACTTACGTATTTTAAAGATAAATTAAATTAGGACCCTATTGGATCACTAAAGGATTTAAATCATATTAACTGTGATTTAACTATACGCCTACTGCGTTCATTCAAAAGATAGGATTTGCTAGTAGTTGGACTCGAACCGGGTCGGCTGCCTACGTACCCGTAATACGGGATAAAAGTCCACGTAGTTCATTCGAACTTTGATAATTTAGTTGTAACCACGTTCCACTGATCGCGATTCTCGTATTAAGGATTTTGTTAATAAAATTTGAATAGGTTATTACAAGGTTGTCAAGAGAAACATAAGAATTTTAGTTGTTAGGAAGATACTTGATGTATTAGAAAAGAAACAGGGATTATCTTAATCCGCATTCGAAATTTCGTATTATGAATATTAAATAATAAAATGAAACGAAATGATTAAATCTACGCATGATGGGCCAGCAGCCCAACTGGTTACGTTGCCAATCATAGAGCGCGTTCGTTACCAAGAACAATGGTTTGAAACTCAATCACCAACCTTTTTTGTGCTCGTTGTTTTAGGTTAGAGATGGGGGAGGGTAATCTCATAAATTCCCGAAAACACGGTGGCAAGGCCACATAAATTTTAAGAAACCCTAGGGGCAACTAAGTCATTTCGACCCTCGGGATTTATAATCGTCTCTAAGATGAAACCTTAGCCGCTAAGTGATTCGGGCCTAATTGTACATATTTTGCCCCCATTTTCTTTAGGATTTTGTGGCAATTGTGCTCCTAAAAGAGTGGTTTTACGCGAGGTTTCTTGTGTTTTAGCATGTTTCAGGATTTAACAGGTGAAATCCGCCCTGGAGTCGAAAGTTGGACAAAAAGGAGCGAAAACCGGGTGAAGAGGAAAAAAGAGGCAGTTCACGGTTTCTCTTGGAAGTTCACTGTCTGCTTAGAGCGTGAAGAGGAGCCGTTGCCCGTGAACATCAAGGCGTCCATGGCCAAATCTCAAGTTACTGACGCTAATCGAGTTCACGATCAATAAGACCGTGAACTAGAGCTGTTGCCCGTGAACCAGAGCAAGCAAAGCGGTGCGCTTCGACGCCAACCTTGAGTTCACGGACGCGTTCAAGAGTTCTCAGCCGTGAACTAAGGTCGTGAACTGAGCTCGATCCGTGTTTAAAAGGAGAGCTGACAGGAAGAGAGAAAGGAGAGCCCAAGAGTGGGAAAGTGTCTCCTTCAACTTTTAGAAAGAGAAAAAACGAACCAAAGAAGAAGGAAGGTTAAGGTTTTCTCCAAGTGGTGAATTGGGAGGATTCTCCTCACGAGAAGATAAGCACTACTGCAAAGAAGATTGCGGCATCTTCGTGATGGGTTCTACCTCTTCGCCTTGTGTTTCTCCCCTTTCTAGCATGGAGTACTTTCCTCTTTTCACTTGGGTGTTGGGAAACCCTAACTATTTTACCATGTAGTTTTTGTTATGTGAATTGAATGATTGTTCATGGGTGTTGTTTAATTCCATGATTGAGGTATTTTTCATGTTGATTGTGCATATTTGTGCTTAGCAGTCTAATTGGCCAATTTAATCTAGATTAGAGAGGAAAACCCCCTTTCAAGGGAGGCTCAATTGAGTTTGGATTCCTAGGCCTTTTTAAGTCACCTATCTAGGTTAATTTAGGGAAAACCTTGATGTTGGATTAAACAATTTGGTTAACGCAATTAAGCCGACCGACCCTTAGGTTGAGAGAGATAGTAAGTCAACCATCGATTGCCTTAACCGAGAGGGCCACTTGAGGAGCCTATAATGTATCCCTCGGTTTGGCAATCGAGAGTGTGGTCTACGACCATATTTGCGTCCCCTTGCAGTTCACGGTCACCTTGCGCAAAGCAATCACTTCGATTCACATACCATGGTAGTAGTTAGAGGGAAGCAACACCCGAGTGATCCTTCTCACAAAGAGCTTTCAAAACCATTTACTTTTTCCTTGCTTTACTTTAATTAGCAAACTTTTCAACCAAAATCAATTCGTTAGATAATGATTCAAATGACTGAAGTAGGGATATACGGACCGACCCGAGTCGATATTTAAACATACTTTCCCTGTATTGCACCCGACTAAGGTTTATTCTTGGACCTTAGGCGGGAATTAATTATGATATTCAGGACGAGTCAGTAAGCCAAAATCGGCTGCCTCTCCCCTCACCTCTCTCGTTCTGCCCTCTCTTTCGCCTGCCATTCCCTTTGCCTCTCTGTTGACGGCGACGGGAAGGGCGGTGAAACTCGCCGGCGACCTCTCTCTCTCTCTCTCTCTCTCTCTCTCTCTCTCTCTCTCTTTCTTGATCTTTCTCTTCCCATCTGAAAGAAGAAAGCGAACCAAAAATAAAAAAAAACAAAGAACAAACCATTCCCTCTCTCTTCTCTTTCTCACTCTCCCTCATCTGATTTGTTTCGTCCTCCCTCTACCAAGAGAATCACCAAAGCCAGTCGAAGACCCTTGTCTTATTCCTGCTTCTCCTCTCTTGGCTGCCGCCATTCCCATTATCTTTCTCGCTCTCGCTTCGCCGTCAGTCGCCCAAATCTGACCGGGAAATCCTAGATCTAGGTAAAATCATGTCATGCAAGTTTACTTTTGGTTTGATTGTGTATTTATTGGGGTTTTGTTGATTTTCTGGATTTTGGTATGACGAGGGACGAGGAAAAGGGGGTCTCTTGAGGAGAAGAGGACTCACCGCCGGAGACAGGAGAAGACTCGGTGACGACCAGGTTGAGGGACAACCGACGGTAGGTTCAGCTCGGTTTTTTTTTGGTTTATTGGGTTATAACATTTTTTTGTTTCGGTCAAGTAGAGGATGAGGAGGTGGCCTCGACGGCGAGGGAGATCCGGCAGTCAAGCGACGGAAAGGAGTAAACCTAGGAAAAGCTTTTTTTATCGACCTAGGCTCGATGTTTTCTTTTTCTTGTTATCATTTATTCTGATTGTTTCGATTTTTTGTTTTTGCTTCCGAGGAAGAAAAGGTGAAGGTCGCCGGTGGCTGGTGAACTACCTACCGACGAGTATAGGTTCGGGTGAGTTTCTAAACTCGGCTTAGTGTGATTAGTGTACTGAACTAAACCTAAAAGATGATATTGCTATGGATTTAAGATTAGACCGATTTGGGTAATGATACCCTAAACTCAGCTTAGTTTGATTAGGGAATTTGCACAAAATGGATTATTATTGAGGGTCTGGGGTAGGTTTACAGATATGTGATATATGAAATATGTTGTGTGCGTGTATTTGTATCCTTTTGGCTCATAACTAAGTAGTTAAAAAAACTAATTCATTAATCATCGCCGCCACTGCTTGCGATGACTAAAAATAACTAAAATTTTCACTAATGTTTTTATTATTGGTTTTATTGGGGTTTTGGTGATTTCATAATTCGAGATTTTGGGCATAAGAGGTATTTTAAGATAGCTCCCTATAGTTAGACTTGGCTTGATCTATTGTGTACGTACTTCATGAATCTGGTCAGCTTAAAAGTCAGTTTTACTATTGTTTTGTGAATGCTTGAAATGGATCTCGTAGTAAGTTTAACTGGACTAAATCAAAACTTGTAGCTTGATACTTAGACTGTTTTTATCTATGGTGGTGGTATGTAAGTAAAGGAACAAGCAATCTGATCTAGCTAATTTAACAGAAGTTTTAGCTGCGTAGTGCTTCTTTTTCTTATTCTCCTATGCCGCCTATTGGTACTAGTGCAACTTCTCCCTACGGTCGAACATATTCCCCTCCTCTCCTTCTTGTTCTAATTAAAATGCGAGCAACTTCGCACCTTCTCCTACGGTCGAACATATTCTAAATCTTCGGGCTCACTACTTCGTTCCTTCGGTCGAACATATTCCCCCCCTCTCCTTTCAGTCGAGCATACTGGTTGGGTGAAATAAAATCCCTCTGGTATCTATTCTGTTTGCATATTGCCTCTTCACGGGTTCAGTTCTGGCCTCGTGCCACCCGGTGTGGGATGCCTCTTTTTCTTACCGAGGATATTTTATATAGCCGCGAAATTATTAACAAGAGAAAAACATACAAATGCTTGATAAACATCCAAAACCGATCAGATCGGGTCCAAAATACATGTCATAATAGGCATAGAACAGATAATTTAACACTTAGTACATATGAAAGCATAAGCATACAAGATCTGCCTATGTTACTTTAATGATATGAAAGCATAAGCAATCACTCTGTTTATGTGGGATATGGAAGGTAGTTGGCTTGGGATAGACAATCAACATACATGTATAATTGAGATGGATTAAAGAAACACCAACCTGTGACTATGTAGAGTGGTATGCTTGGTAGATTTTCTGTTGGTTGCTTGCTTCCTTCATCTTTTGCTTCTTGTCTGCTTCCCTTAGCTTTGTCTTACTTTGATTGGATTTTTTTCTGCCCTCCTTTCTCTGTAAATTAGCTCTCAATCCCTCTGTCTCTAAAATGAAACCCCAATCAGATCTGCCTCCCAATTTTGGTAACCGACCTCTCCTTTTATATATGGTTTTTTATTGTTCATTCTGGTGTGTTGGTGACATTTGGTTAGCCTTCTTGAGAGGTGGTTGTTCTCTTCTTGCATAGGAAGCAACCATTTTTTCCTTACCCTTTGAGATGGGATATGGGCCAAGACTTGAGTTGACCGAAGTTAACTCTATGATTGGGCCTTTTGACTGGGTTAGGCCATGTTGACAAAGTATGGGCCTGAATTGGGTTCGTGATTTTAATTTGGGATAAAACTAATATGTTTTCCTCTCTTTTATTTTTGCAGGTACACAATTTGTTTGGGCTCAAAGTAGGAGGGCATTGACTTCAATTTTTTGAGCCTAATCTGTTTAGCGTTGTTATTGTAATTAGTTTATTGTAATTAGTTTTGATAATTTATTATGGTGTCATTACTGTGATGTACAATGTATCGAATCTGATAATGCAGTTTTTTTGGCCTCACTCAATTTCGCACAATTCATCTACCATTCTCAAATCCAAAGCGTACAACCAAATTTGCACCATAATCATTTCTTTTGTCCAATTGAAACAAAACTTAACAAACTTATAGCTCAATATTGAATTGATGTTAAGATTTGCTACTCCTAATCTTAACAAATCTAATCTTAATAGCCCAAACAACTCGGTGATTACTAGTGTTCACCGACTTGTCACTGCTAGTTTCAACCAAAGTTTCAACCAAATTGATATTAGAATTATGTTAAGTGAACTTGGAAGTAATTGACTTGCCACTGCAATATCAACCAAATCTTCCCAAGCATCCTTTTTTTAATTTATCAATATTAATTTTCTCCTTTCGAGTTTTAAGTGTAGTGTGTGCCCGGATAAAATGTGGTGTCTACAATGATGAGGATGATGATGGCGGGGCCATGGATGCCGACGAGCCGGAGCCCCCACTTTCTCCACCTGGGCGCCTTCCTCCACGACGGTGATCCGAGATAGGTGAGTCCTCCTCCGGTCCTTATGTTCCGTCGATGGATTTCTTCACCGAGCAGTTCAACCAGATGGGCTTCCAGTTTTAGCTGCTCTCCCTCCAAAACAAGCAGCTCGTGGACCACCAGCACCAATTTTAGCAACAGTATTCAGCACACCAGGCTGAGTACTACACCAGGATGGCTGTTTTCGACGAGCGCCTCGACCATTTCGAGACTCAGTAGGGTGTCACCCTTGCTCACATCGAGCGGGAGCGCGGTCGCAGCCGTCGCATGATGGAGTACCAGGAGCACCTGCTTCAGTCCTGTCAACCACCGCAGAAGCATCACTGGACCACTCGGTGGGAGCACTCACCACCACCACCATCCCCACCACTAGGCGACCTTGGCGACCTCATGGACCATATTGAATCGACCACCTCGAGTAGGCTGTACTCGCAGGCTCTTTTCTGTGTTTTCGTGTGTTTTGTTTTGTTTTGGGAAGGAGTGCAAACTGGATTTTTATGTGTTTGGTTTGTTTTTCTTTTGGATATTGTAGTATTGGGATGACAACTCTACCTAATGCCTTTGTGTTTGAGTGATTGTTTTTGCTCTAGCCCGTGTTCTTGGTTCGACTAGTCCCATTTCCAGTCCTCCTCCCGTCTGACTGGTCCACTTTCCAGCAATAGTCTGTTTTTACTGGTAACATCATTCCCCTTCTCTTCCCCTCTTCTCCATTGAGGGCAATGTAGATCTTAAGTGTAGGGGGTGTTTATATTTGACTGCTTAGTGTGTTTGTGTGCTTGGAGCCTACTCCACTGTCGAAATTTCGATTGACGGCTCCAAGTATGTGTTCCTTGCAATGACCTGCTCAATATGCTTTGAATCGACAGTCTTTATAGTACTATGCAATCTAGGAAGATAGTGTAACGCTATGGAGGATGCTGAAGTATAAGATATTTCCTATCTTCCTTTTTGTTGTGCTAGTTGATTGTGTAAACTAGTGGATGTAGGACTTTTGATTCATGTGACATAGATGACTCTCTTGCTATGTATGGACTGATGTTTTGTATAAGGGTGCTCAAGTGCGTAATGATAAAGCAGTTGGTCCTCCATGTTAGAAAAATTGAAATCTTAAACATGGGGTAAGCCTAACGTGTGTGGCACCGTTCATTGCACGAAATCGGGTTTTGGAAGAGATTTTAGTGATCCTTAGTGAGGTAGACCTACAAGGTGAAGCTAAGTTGTCTCTGGTACAAGTGAAAATTCCACCCATTGAACGATTTGCCTACTTGAGGAGGTGTTTTTAAGGGCACGGATAGAGCTCTGACTTGCCTTAATTTCATTGACCCTCCACACGAAGTGAGAAAAAGGAGTTAAAAGAAGTATTCTAATGAGCGACAGATGTACAGAAATTGCTCTTGCTCACCTAATAAGGGTCGACCGCGAATAAAAACTGCAGTTGGAACCCAAGCAAAGTGAAAATGTGAAAAAGAAAGAAAAAGAAACAAATGGTAAGGAAAAGGGGTTCCAAGAAGTGAAAAGGAAAGAAAGAGCACCCAATACGGATAGTCTTTGGTTGTTGTGTTATGTGAGTGAGTCTCTTTGTCCATGAATTGTTTGTCTTAAGTCCACTGCTTCACATGATCCTGATGTGAGTCTACTACTCGCATTGAGGGAAATAGGGGATGTCTTAGAAACTGGTTGACCTCGTAAGTTGCTAAATGATCTAGAAAGACCTCCTATCGACGATCGGGGTTGCATGGTGCTGTAGAGGTCTAGAGAGTTGCATTGGTTTGAGCCAGGTTTTCTTGGGGACAAGCAAACGGTGAAGTGGGGGTGGGGGGATTTGATAAACCGTTATTTGTACATGATATTTCCCACTAATCTTGAACCGTTTGAGAATTGATTGTCGTGTTTTAAGCCGATTTCACGCTAGGTTGTGCTTTTATGTCATATTTCAGGACCTGAAGCGGAAAGGAATGCTTGGAGGCGAGTTTCGGATAAAAAACGCCAAGGAAACAGAAGGAGAAGTGCAAGAACTAAAACCCCCGGTCTGGTCATTAAAAACCCGGCCGGGGAAATGGCTCAGAGGCCGGGGAATCACTCTAGAGATTTTACCCGGTCTGGACTCCCAGTTCCTCGACCGGGTAATTTCAAAGGGATACCGGGTTTTAACCCAACAGGCTGCGCACCGTTTTGCTATTACCCGACCGATTTGCCTTAAACCCGACCGGGTAATTGGACCAAGTTTCGAGCAGAAAAGCTGTTAGGTGCGAATTATGGGTTCTTTGTCAATTATTCAAGTTTTGGAGAAAGAAAGTGAAACCTAGAGAGAGAAAGCAACGAACTAAACCTCCAAAGTGACATAGATGGAGTTTTGACGCCATTGGAGCTAGATTGAAGGTTGGAGAAGTGTCGATTGACAACCAGAAGCTAATTTTCATTCTGCACAGAATGATTTCCGCATCTGAAGCTGATTTCTCTTTTCTCTCTATGGATTAAACTCTCTCTCTCACCTGGGTATGAAGAACCCTAGATTTTATGTTTGGTTTGGCTGTATGAACCCAAGTACATGATTTTTTTGACATTGATTATATTAAATTGAGCATGATTTTCTGAATTGCATGAATCCTGATCAAATTCTTGTAGTTTCTACTTTGATCTAGAAAGAGAATATATGTATAGGTTGATAGAACACCCTTAATTGAAGGTGGAGAATTGACTACTTTAGTCAAGGAGTCAATTCTCTGCTCTGTATTGGATTTACTCCAGTAGAAGAGGTTTTGCATGTTAGGGCCTCAGTTTGTTTATTCCGGTGGAGGTTAGTCGCCCGCCAGGCACTCAGATTGAGAGGGTCTAGAGACTTTTAGTCGAGACTTCTGACTGGATAAGAACCTTCCGCAGTATAACTGTCATTAAATCTGAACTTGGTGAATTATAACCTGACTTAACTGCAATCTAGGGGGAACCATATGATAGACCGTCATTTACACATGTTTTTACCCTCGTTCTTACACCGTTTGAGGTGTTGATTCTCGTGTTTTAGGCCGATTTCACGCTAGGTTGTGCTTGTTTGTGATATTTCAGGTCCTAGTACGTGAATGACGGCTTAGGAGCGAGTCTGGGGTCGATTGGACGAAGAACGGACGAATGGCGAGCTTTTTGGGAGCTGCACGGGCAGACCAGGGAGACGCACGGCCGTGCAAGGTGCAACTCTGGCCGTGCGGTTTTGGCCGAGGCCGAGCACGGGCTGGCCGGGATCCCTGCATGGCCGTGCACCTGGCCGTGCGAGAAGCCTGAGGCCGACTTAATGATACGGCTGCGTTTTGGAGTGCACGGCCAGAATGGTGGTCTGCACGGCCGTGCACCCTGGCCGTGCGAGTCGGGAAACCTGGTTTTAGAGCCTAATCCGAGCCAAAAGTGGGAGAATCGTGTTTGGAGAGCAAAAACAGAGCCCTAGAGAGAGAAAGTGCGAAGAACACATCCTAGAAGCTGTCTTAGAGCTGGATTTCATCGAATCGAGCTTGGAGGTCGTCATAGGAGTGGAAACCATCGTCCCGGAGCAGATTATCCTCATCGTTATGAGTATGACTAATCCGATTCTTATTTTCTCTTCTCTCTCTATGGAGTAGAACCCTTCTCTCACTTGGGTATGAAGAACCCTAGTTCCTTGTGTTAGGGATTTGATTGTAATGACTTGGGATGATATTACTGTTTGATTTTAATCGAATGACGCATGTTTAATGAATTGATTTGAGTCTGATCAGCTTTTCTCAATTTCTGCTTCAACCTGAGATAGATAGAATCTGATTAGGTTGTTAGAGCCTCTTCATTCGATAGTAGGAGATTGGCTATACGAGAGTTAGCCAGTTTACTGCTTTGTACTGGTGTTCTTGGCGCCAGTAGTGGAGTTCTGTGTTCATAGCCTCAGCTTTCTATCCCGGTGAAGACTAGTCGTCTGCGGGTAGTTAGACTGAGAGGGCTTGGTCAGCTTAAGAGATTCCAAGCTACTGTCGGATCTTCCGCAGTCTAATCAATAGTAAATCAACCCAGGGAATTGCAATTGAACCTAACTAAGGGGCTAGGGGGACTCAATCCCGAGTGACTCTTGCCTGCTTTAGAAAACCGAACAATTTACTGCTTTCTTGTTGCTTTTACTTTTCACAACAATCACTCGAACTAGTTTGCTAGATAATAGAGAATCACCGAGTAAGCAGTAGATCTAGACCCCGGGTTGATAATTAAACTTGCCTGTTACTGCATTCCCGGACTGCGATTCCACTTGGTCGCAGTTTGGTGTTGTGTTTTGGCGTGTCAAGTTTTTGGCGCCGTTGCTGGGGAACCCTCTAGATAATTGGGGAAACGTGAGAATTTGTTACTCTAGCTTTTATTTACTGCATTTTATCTCTTCCACCTATGTGCCTTCACGGGTTGCTTCTGCTGATTGTGTGCAGGTAGTGCATGACCCGTAGCCAGTCGGGAGATCTACTACCATTAGACCAGGAGCTTGAACGA